AATCCACTGGCTGACATAGTCCACCTTATAGAGTCTCTGTTTTGCTGGAGTCCAGCTCCAGCTGAGTTCGGAACTTGCGAAGGGTGCGTGGATGAGGCTCAAAGAGGAAAGAAAGAGACGGACCACTAGGACTTCATGATCATAATGGACGACGCACAAAAGCTGTCCGCTTTATTTATACAAAATCAGTCAAACTCTGGCTCAGACTTTTTACGTCATGGTCAAGTGGGTGTTTCTAAAGATAACTCTGCCATTTGTTTCACCTAAGGCTAGGATGTTATCCACCTGGCACCTGGCACCTGGCTAGGAAAAAGTTCTCAATAGATGGTGCATATCAATCAGTAACACATTCCTACCACAATTCTCATTCTACAGCTTGGTCTTGAGACAGTCAAGGAAGGAAGAACTTCACAGAAGGGACCTAAAAGATCAAAGAAAGAGAGAAAGAATAGATTCCACTACACCTGAAGACAGAACACCCTTGATTAGCATAGGATCAAAGAGGGAGTTAGCACCCTTGATTAGCAAATTGCCACAGGATGCAGCTGTAACAGCAATAACAGCTTTTTGGCTAAAAAATGGTAACATCAGCTTCTAAGCTCCTATTGATATTTAACAGTAGCTCCGCAGAGGCAGGCAATGCCTAAATAGATTACGGAAATCTCAATGGGGTTGTCCGGTGTCCATGCAAAGGGAGGTGGAGCTGCATTCAGGTGTTGTAGAGACCGGCCCTGCCACACAGCGGGAAGTTCCTTGTGGCCCTGCCTGCAATAGAACAATACTCTTCACACCTTCCTGACTTCCACACCCATCACACGGACCCCAGCACTGTTTGCCCAGATTTTCACTGCCAACACATGATCAATTTGTTCTGTCCTCCATCCTCTCTTGTGGTAATAGGTGTCCTCTGCAGGTTCCAATGGACTGCCATATCCTCCATGTGCACCTGGATATGCTGTCCACTGCTCTGAGCCACTGAGGAAGCTCAGCTTTGACATATGCACTCCATGGTGAGACCATGGAACCTGCACTTCTCTTCATGATTGGGGTTCTGAGATCAGCAGTTCGGTTGGAGGGATCCCAAAGAAACTTAATCTGAGGTGATCCCAGACCACCTGATTCTTGTATGTGCTTGCCAGTACAGGGTTGGGCACAGTCCGTCACCCCAATCAGCTTATCCATATGCTGGTGGTTGCAATTGTTGGGTCAGTTCTTTTTCCAGCCCAGTCTTCCACTGGAACCAATGGGTGTCGCAGTCCAGCCTGATTTTGCCCACCACACACTCAACCCTCATGCAAACCAGTGGGAGCCGCAGCCTAGTTGGAGCAACTCCCCATGACCCCCATCAGGCCTGCCCCCTACCCTGGTTCCTTTGCTTGCCAGTATTTACAGCAGACTGTTCCTGTCTGTCCCACATCCCATTTAGCTCTCATACATGTCAGTGAGCATTGAAACCTAGTTCAACCCAACCACCTCCACTATCCAGCCCACACACATGCTGGTGGGTGCATTTTTGTTCTGCCATGCCTGCCCTAGTCCTGGTTTTCATGCTCTCCAATGGGAGTGGCAAACCAAGAGGGAGGTGCCCACTATTTCCCTACTGGGCCAGTCCCACTCCCGGATCATGCATGTGATTCTGCAGCTTTAACCTGATAGAAGTACCCTCTGTGCCAGCGTCTGCCAGCTGATGCTGTGACAAAGCCCCACCAACCCTCACCCACTCTAATTTTTGCTTGCACCAGTTGAAAGTCAGCCCAGCCTGGCTTTTCCCTGATCCAACTCACATGAGGTCCACAGGTGTTGTAACACTGCCTGTTCTGGTCTGTCCCCATCCCAACTCACACTCTCCAGTGGGAATGGTGGCCCACCAGGGGAGCCCCTCGCAACTCCCATACTGGCTTTGCTTCCTCCCCCTTGGTCTCACGTGTGCTGGTTGGGCACTGCGGCCCAGTCTTGGATGGCCCACCTCGTCTCATTATTTACCAGTAGGTGCTATAGCCTGTCTTAGCCCAGCCCACCCCCAATTCCAGCTCAGGCTTGTGGGGGTTACAGCTTAGCTCAGTCCAGCTGGCACCTAGTCCCAGCCCTAATGTGTACTGGTATGTGTTGCAACCCAATCTGGCCTGGCCCACATTGTTCCAGTGCTTGGATTCGCCAGCGGGTGATGTGAACTGGTTCAGCCTGGTTCGCCCCAACCTGTGCCAAATGTATGCCAGTGGGTACCATTTCCTGGCCTGGTCTGGGCTGCTCCCTATCATGATTCTTATGCTCAGCTGCAGGGACTGCGTCCCAACAGAGGAGTTGCCCAAGCTCCTCCATCAGAACCTCTCCCAGTACAAGATCTCACACACATTGGTGGGTCCGTAGGCCAGCCCTACTTAGTCCACCTCCTGTCCTGGCAGTAACAGTGGCCTTTCCTGACCTGCCTTCAACCCATTCCAGTTCGTACTGTTGGATATTTCAGCCCAGCCAAGCCTGGTCCACACCCAGACACAGCTCACACGTGGCTCAGTAGCGGCAGAGACCTGTTCTAACCTGTCCTACACCTACATTGGTTCTCCAGAGCACTAGATGGTTTTGGAGTCTAGCCCAGTTCAGTGCACCCAGCCCCTGTCCACACTTGTGCCAAGGGGCACTGCAGTCATATCCAGACCAAAATGCAACTCGCACTCTGGCCCCCGCACTCGTCAGTGGGAACACCAACACAGCCAGGGTGTCCCTTTAACTCCCCAGCCAGGTCTGTTCCCAGCCACAGATCTTGCACGTGCCAGTAGTTGCTCAACCAAACTTGGCATAGCCCCTCACTTGTCTTGGCCTTTGCCTTAGATGCTGTAGCCTGGCATCCCTGGCTTATGCAGACCAGTCTGTGTAAGAGCCTAGTTTAGCATGACCTGTGCTCCTGCCTGATTTCTGTTCTTGCTGGTGAGCTAAGGTTTGCTCAGCCCTGCCTGGTCCATCCCCTTCCATAACCAACCCACACTTTAGCCAACAGTTGGATCTACTTTGCTCAGCTTGCCCAACTCCCAGGCCTGGTCTATGTGATTGTCATAGTTATAACCCACTAAGGGAATCTTCCAAGTTCCCCCACTTGACCCACTCCCAGACCCAAATCTCATACATGCCAGTGGGTGTTAGGTCAGTATCTGGCATAGTCTGGCCTTCCATCTTGGCCTTGTACGAACTGGTGAACATTGCAGCCTGGCCCACCCCATACCCTATTTTAGGATGCACATGCAGGTGCTGCAGCCTGGACCTGCCCAGACTGCTGTCGCAGTGATGGCAGGTTCCATGGTTACACCTAATTCAGCTCATCATCACCCCAACTCAAGCTAACCAACGGGACTTGTATTTCCAGAGTTGGGCCCATACATCTATTCGCGGACTTGGTTCTCTTGTGTGCTGATTAGTGTCATGGTTCTGCCTAATGTGACCCATTCCCTGTTCTGTCATTCTGTCAGGAACTAGGATCTAGCAGGCTAGACAGGCCTCCAGCCCTAGCTTTCGCATGGACTGGTGTGTGGTGGTCAGCATTGTTCAGTGGTAACAAGTCCCATACAGGACTCACATGTTGACTTGGGTATCAGTCCTGTCCATACAGATTATCCGGCCTCTCCCCTCCAAGCCACCAGGTCCCAGTACCCTCGCCTACCTTCAAGTAAGGTGACCCTGTCATTGGGAGTTCCTCAGGATTGACTCCTCACCAACATGCACAGTGGTCTCATTCATGGACGTACCTAGCCAACAATTCCGCACCCTGAAGACCCCAGAGCTTGCTGCCAGGTGGCCAATTGGGGGAGCATCATGCCAATTGGCCACCTGGCCACCCAAACCCCAGGACTCACTCACCACATGGCAGTGGTGGCTTTGGCCAGGGCCCCAAGCATGAGTCCTACCTGGCTTGGGTACTCCCAGAAGCCAATAGGCTGCTGGAAGCTCCCAGCACCCAGGCCCTGAGGTCGAACTCCAGAATTTATTTACACTGTAAGTGACCAGTTGCAGGTCATGGTTGAAGGACGAATTCGCAGGTAAGCTGTGTCAACACCTCCAGCATTTCTCTTACAGGCTTACAGCAGCACTTAGATTGTTAGATGGGATGCCATTCCATGGGTTGGTACAGATTCAGAAGCCTTTTTTTTTTTTTTTTTAAGATTTATTCACTTATTGGAAAGCTAGATTTACAGAGAAGGATAGAAAAAATCTTCCATTCACTGGTTCATTCAAGTGGCTACAATGGCCAGAGCTGAGCCAATTGTAAGCAGGAGCCAGGAACTTCTTCTGGGTCTCCCACATGGGTGCAGGGCCTCAAGGCTTTGGGCTGTCCTCGACTGCTTTCCCAGGCCACAAGCAGGGAGCTGGATGGGAAGTGGAGCTGCCGGGATACCAACCAGCACCCATACGGGATCCTGGTCCTTGCAATGGGAAGATTCAGGCGCTGAACCATCCCCTCAGGCCCAAGAGTTTAGATTTTAAGTGAAGGAAATGATTGCTCAGAACCGAATTAAACTTTCCTCACGCCAAAGATTTTTTTGGCTAAGTTTGGTAGGATTCAAAGCAGGTCCACGAAATTATATTTCTTAAACCTCCTCAAGTCTGAGCTTCTCAGGGACGCGGAGGGTGAAGCTGAACACGGGGCTGAAATCACATGCAGAGAGCACTGGCCCAGTTTGTGGGAGATGAGGGTGGGCCTCCCGTGGAAGCGGGGTGCAGGTGCCCCCTGCAGGGTCTCTGCAGGCTGTGGGAGGTGAGGGACGGCCTCCCGTGGACGCGGGGTCCAGGTGCCGCTGCACGGCCTCTGCAAGCCGTGGGAGACGAGATGGTGCCCTGGCACAGTAGCCACGATTTGTGTCGCAGCGGGTCACCCTTGGTCCAGTACGAGGGGCGCTCGGACGGCCCTGCCGCGCAGGCGCGCCCGCCCTGCAGCATCCCTACGCGCAGGCGCACGCGCCGGGCCTGCCTTTAAGACGCACGCTTCGGCGACGCTCCTAGTGCGGAAGTGTGTGCGCAGCGCCGGGATGGCGGCCGCGGAGAGGCGGCTGCGGGGCCTCGGCCGTCTGTGCCGCCTGCTGCTGCTCCTCTCTCAGTTCTACATTCAGTGTGGCGGTGGTGAGTGCAAGGCCGGGGTCCGCGCTGGGCCGGGCCGGAGGGCTGCCTGCGGCGGGGTGCTGCGCCTTCGGTCGCCCATGGGCCCCGCCGCTCGGTGCCCGGAGCGCCGGCCTGGGGCCTCCCCTGGTTCCCCGGCCGCCCGCGGAGCCCGAGTGGACCGGCCGTCGGGGCCGTGAGGACTCGTGACCTGGTGGGGCCCCCGCGCCGGACCTGTTCTGTCTGACTGCGGTCTCCTTGCCTCTAGAGCATTCGCAGCCGCTGGCCCAGGCGGTGAAGGACGCAGTCCCCACGCGTGCAGCCACGACCGTCCCCGGGGCAGCAGGTACTGTGTGCGTGGGACGCGTGGAGTGAGTGGGGTGCATGGGGTCGGCACTCTCTCTGCCCCTGAGGTCGCGTCTGTAGGTGCTGCGGCTGCATTGCGCAGTTCAATGGCTCCCGTGCCCAGACGCGCCCTCCTTGTGTCATTTCTTCGTGTGCTCCATCTGTAGCCAGTGCTGACAACGGCTTCCAGAACCCTCTTGCTAAGCATGGATGGTCTAGGTTCCCGGTAGGGCCGTGCGAGTGCGAAGAAGCACCCGGAGTCTGGCTCTAAGCCATGTTACGGGGAGGGGGAGCAGGTTGTTGGTTCCTGCAGGCCTCTGCTCCCAGGGGTGGTAGGGGTGAAGTTTGTCTGCTGCCCAAAGTAGCCTCGCCTTTGTGGGCGCAGTGTCTGACTCCCGCCGCCTGGAATAGCACCACTGGAAGGAAGTGCTGTGTTGGGTAAAGCTGCCGCCTAACACCCAGCTTTCCCAGGGGTGCGTTTTAGCTGGACATGTTTTGATTCTGGGCTCATCTCTGTTGTTGCAATGAAATAAAACTGGTCCTGATATGTTTACAATGTGAACAACAATTACGTTGAATTTAAATTGCTTGGTATTTTCTAGAGAAAAGACGAATTCTTGATTTCCTCCAGTGCCTCTTCTCATGCATACTTACGATGCTGAGCCTCTCTTAGCGGGTATATGTTGGGCACCTGGGTGCGCTAGCTGGGAGAAAAGCAGGTTAACAGCTCGCAGACAGGCCACTTTGAACCTTGGAGGTAATGAAACTGTGAAAGTTTACATACAGCCTGTTATAGTTCCCCTGTGGGACAGCGGCCCAGTGCTTCCTAGAGCTGGCTGTCTGAAGGACCTCCGTGGCTGCGTTTCTGAGTTAGTGGGTGCAGGTGAGACGCACCTTGGATTGGGGCCGGCACTGTGGTGTCGCGGGTTAAGCTGCTGCTTCGCTGCTGGCATCCCATTTGGGCACCAGTTCTGGTCCCGCCTGTTCCACTTTCAGTCTAGCTTGCTGCTTATGGCCTGGGACAGCAGTGGAGGGCGGCCCAAGAGATGGGGCCCCTGCACCCACACAGGAGGCTCAGGTGGGACTTGTAGCTCCTGGCTTCCACATGGCCATTTGGGAAGTGGGAAAGAAGATGCCGGACTTGCTCTCTGTCTCCCTCTCCCTACTCCTCGCCCCTTTCCTTCCCTCCCTGTAACTCCCTTGGATTGGACGTGGAGAGCTTCAGGCCTGGCTCCACTTGAGCCACAGACTTCGTGTGCAATTTTCATGAACATTGGCGTTACCGTCTCTCGGCATCTGTTTTCTGTCTTATAAGACAGTGGTTATTTTTGAGCCCCTGAGCTGTACGTAGCATTGTCTACAGTGTGTGTGAGTCAGCGACAGCCAATGAGAGCCTCTTGTACCTGTGGGGGACAGGAGTGTGGCCACGCAGCTGCACACTGCCCACATCTTGGATCCCTGCTCCATGCCCCTGTGTTCCGGCAGTGCAGTGTCCATGATGGCCGCCTGCCCCTGTGTTCTGGCAGTGCAGTGTCCGTGTTGGCCCTGTGTTCTGGCAGTGCAGTGTCCGTAATGGCCCTGTGTTCCGGCAGTGCAGTGTCCATGATGGCCCTGTGCCCCTGTGAGCTCTCCTCTCCCTCTCACAGAAAGCACCGAAATCCCATCATACGTGATGAAGTGTCCAAGCAACGGCTTGTGCAGCAGACTTCCTGCCGACTGCATAGATTGTGCGACCAACTTCTCCTGCGTCTATGGCAAGCCCGTCACGTTTGACTGTACGGTGAAGCCTTCTGTGACGTGTGTCGTAAGTACCGCCACTTTGCTTGTTCTGCAGAAATCCATTGTAAGCCTCAGCCTCAAGTGTGGCTTAGCCTTGGCTTTCATGGGGAGAGAGGAGACACATTCCCCAAATGCCCAGCACAGCCAGAGCTGGGCACGGCTGAAGTCAGCAGCTAGGAAGACTGGCTGGCAGGATCCCACATTCTTGGCCATCATTGCTGCCCCCTGGTAAGTTAGTGGAAGCTGGATGGGGAGTGAAATAGACATCCGATGATGGTGTCACTGGCTGTGCCACAGTGCCTACACCTGTTTTTGTTTTGTTTTTAACATGTATTGGAAAGGCAGATTTTTACAGAGGGAAAGATCTTGCATCTGTTGGTTCACTCCCCAAGTTTGGAGTCTTGAGCCTCTTCCAGGTCTGCCACGAGGGTACAGAGTCCCAAGGCTTTGTGCCATCCTCGGCTGCTTTCCCAGGCCACAAGCCAGTGGAGCTGGATGGGAAGTGGAGCAGCTGGGCCACAAACTGCTGCCTTTATGGGGTGCTGGTGTCTGAGTCTCTTGAGCCACAGCATCAGCCTCCCTTCTCCCCCCCCTATTTTATGACTACTTTGTTAAAGATAAAAAATTTTTTCAAGATTTAGTTTTTTACCAATTGGGGGTGGGGAAGAAATCTTCATCACTGGTTCACTCCTCAGATGTGCTGAGCTGGGCAGGTCAGGAGCTGCTTCTGGGTCTCCCACGTGGGCACAGGGCCAATGTGCTTGGGCTGTCCACTATTGCTTCCCGGGCGCTTTAGCAGGAACCTGGATCAGAAGTGCAACAGCCTGGACTTGAATCGGTGCCCACATGGGATCCCAGACTTGCAGGCAGTAGCTTAATATGCTACACCAAAGTGCCAGACTCCAAAATAGAATACATTTTAATATTCTGCATTCCCTCCTGTATCGCATCGCAAGTGTTCTGGCTATTGTGGTGCCTGTGCCTTTTGATCTAGTTGTTTGGGGTGGGTGAGAAGGCGGCTTTAGGGCTTGGATGTGGGTGTGCCCAGACATCACAGATCCCTCTGCTGGGTTCTGTGCTGGAAGAGGAGCTAGTGTGCAGTGGGTGGCAATGTTTGTACCAGAGAGGAGCTTGGGAGGGATCACTCATATCCCGAGATGTGAACGAATGCTCAGATATTCAATGAATGCTGGGGTGGCTTCCAGGAGCCCGTCTTGTCCCAGTTCTGGCAGCGCATGTAAGGGACAGGTGGTGTGTTTGCTGAGGACCACCTAGCTGCAGGGTCCGGCCAGATCCAGGTCCACTGACCCCACCCAATGCTGTCATTGAGCCCCTGTGCCCGCGGCCGAGGTGTAGGTCTGGGTCAGCGCCTCCTGCCAGGCTCTGCAGCTTGGGGCTACTGCTGTCATCAGTACAGGCACCTGGGGTGTCCCAGGGACAGCCTAGTGAGGGGGCAACCCTGGCACAGAGAGATTGGGGCCTCCACACTGGGTGTGTCTAATCACTGAGATGTTGTGGGAAGCAGTGGCTGGCCCGGGGCCTGTGACCTTCAGTGACTGAGCTGTCTGCCCTTTTCAGCTATCTGGGACTTTAAAGACCCAGCTGTAGGAGGACACTGGATTGGATACATGGAACAGAGAGATACCTGGAGGCAATGGTGTGGTTGATGGGTTCCATTGGCAGGCTTATGGGAACTCCCATGATCTCAAGTCAACTCATCAATGCCTCCTCCCTTATCCTGTGTGTCCCTTGTAAGAGCCCAACGTAATAAACTCTGGCTATTGACCATCAGTCGGCAGTCCACGCATGTGATTATCGGCTTCGAGCACCAAGTCCCTTGCTGCCAGACAGCAAGCACTGTGATGGGTTTAGTCGAGCGTGATGCCATAAGCTCGTCACCCGGAAGTGGCGTTCGCACTTTGATGTGGCACTAGGTGGCTGTGTCTTGCTGAGTTATGCGCCATATACTTGAGCAGGTACCTGCTGGTCACAGACTCACGCCATGTCCGTGTGCTGTGCGTGTGTGTTGTTTTGGTAACCTGTTTCTCTCTGCCACTGACTGCGGGGTCCTGGTCTAGATGCTTCCAGAGTTGTGTGCCTTGTGATTGCACAAGTGTCAGCCTGACGGACTCTGTCCTCTGGTGTGTAGGATCAGGACTCGCGGTCCCAGAAGAACTTCGTCATCAACATGACTTGCAGGTTTTGCTGGCAGCTGCCCGAGACAGACTATGAATGCTCCAATTCCACCAGCTGCATGGCGGTGTCCTGTCCGCGGCAGCGCTACACCGCCAACTGCACGGTGCGGGACCATGTCCACTGCCTGGGTGAGTCAGCCCCTGGGGGGAGCGGGGCGTGCAATGTGCTCCATACCTTTCCTCAAGGGACTTGAGCCATAGATTCGAGAAACACATGAAAATTTAATTAGAAACAGCGGAGTTTTGGGTGTGCCTAGCCTTGCTCATAAGCTCAGTGAACTTTTTCTAAATTTACTGTTCATCACGAGAGCGTGTGTGGGGTATAGGACGTAGCCTGTGGCACAGCATCTCAGTCGGGTGAGCTGCAGCAACATTTGACGACTGCCTCTTTGGCCTTTTCCGAGATAACCATGTGATTGAACTGTTTTTATCATCCCTCTGCCTTTTGAAAGCTTTTCTAGAGTTCTGTTCTGTATGTAGTAAAACAGAATACTAGGGGCCAGTGTTGGGGCGTAGTGGGTTGGGCTCCTGCTGTGGCCTCCAGCCTGAGTCCTGACCACTCCACTTCTCTAGCTCCTTGCTAAGCACCTGGGGAAGCAGTGGGGTTCCGACTCTTGGCTTCTTGTGTTTAGCTGTCCCAGTGACGGCTGTTCTAGCCACTTGGGGAATGAGTCCAGAGGGTGGGTCTCTGGATGTCTCTTCTGAGTTTCAAAGAAGTAAGTCTTTAGTAGTGGCTACAGTACTTTGCTTTCCCTGTCGGCGTACAGTTGGGGTTCTTCTGCAGCGAAGTCTGGCTCTCCCATCTCCTGGGCTGGCTCCGTGGCGGGGTTTCGCGGTGCAGCTGCTGTGGCGTTTCTTGGGCGTAGTAGCTCCTGGCTGCTACACACACTCGCAGGTCTCCATCTCCAGGACAGTTTCATTCCCTTCCGTTTCCCCCAAGATAGAGCCCAGGTTGGTTTGGGGTGAGGTGAACTTCAGCACTGCAGGTCTTCCCACATGGCCAGCCATGGGTTCCCTGTGCCTCCACGGGTGACCTCGGGTCTGCCGAGTGTCTGAGCTGGTTTTTGCTCTCAGCTCATTGTTCCTGTGGGGTGACTGACCTGTCCCAGCACCACTGTGTCTTCTCCTAAGCTCCCCTGCCGTGCTGTCTGGTGGGGCATCTCACCCTCGTGGCTTGGCTGTCACCTCGCTGATGGAGGCATCAGGCTGTGCTCCTGGATGGGCAGGGCCCTTTTCCGTGCTGATCACTGTGCTAAGCGTTAGCTACAGCTAGGGGAATTGATTTGCTGTACAAGTCAGTTACTTAACTAACTTGCAAAGTCCTTGGTTGAGTGACCCTAGGAGTGTTTTTATCTCTGTGGGTTTTTTTTCCTTGAAGGGAACCGTACATTTCCCAAAATGCTGTACTGCAATTGGACTGGAGGCTACAAGTGGTCCACGGCTCTGGCTCTGAGGTAAGCTTCCCGAGGAACGAGCTGGTGGGTCTCAGTGCAGGGTCTTAGATGGCGGGCTGTGTCCTCCTTCACTCCCACAGTTGTCCCTTGGGGCATGGACTCCAGGACACAGCCATTGGGAGAGGCATCTGGGGGACCAGACCAACACTTGGAGTTTAATGGAACGATGGCTTTTTTAGCGATCAAAACCAGTCATCGTTTTCTGTGCTCGGTGTACCTGGAATATGTGACATACCATAGAGTTTTAAAACCGGCTTATGATAAATGCATTCAATTTTTAAGTAACATCTTAGGAAAAAAGGATACACATTCAGTGTCGAAAACTAGAATAAATCAAAGTAAGAAAAACATTAAAAGCTGTAATTCAGCCTGCAGAGATCACAGGGTTATGCTTCCTCCATAAAGGTACGCTTGTGTTAAACGGTACAGGTGGTTGAGAAGTTTGGGGCAGGTGGGGTCCGGGTCACAGTTAGCTGGGAAGTTGGGGTCTTCGGGGATGAGCCCGACAGGCTGAGGCCTGTGGGGTGGCACGTTGAGCTTCCTGACCTCTTCACGGGCAGTGTGGGCAGTCACCCTTTATTGTGGGGTTGTCCTGTCAGGCAGCCCCAGTTCCGGCTGCTGCCTGTGACTCGCTGGCTGTCACAGGCACTGTCGCCTGTTCCCCACTGCTGATTGTGACCCTGAGAGCATCTCTAGACACGGGCAGGTGGAGTGAACCCTCCACGTGTTGAGAACCACTGAGGCAGGCAGGGCCCCCTCCTTCCGCGGCCAGGAGTGACCTGGGGCGGGGGAGCTTGCCAGCTGGCCTCTGTCCATCCACAGCTGACCTCTAAAAACCCTTACTGTGGTGCTGACCGTTAGATTTGTGGAAAACTTGCCATCACCAAGATAACGGAGTTCCTTCTGCATGTGGTTTATAGCGCCCGGCTTTACCTGTACTTGTTACACAGTATTCCTTAGGTTGGCATAGTCCGCAGCTGTGCCCACACTATTTCCTTCTGAAACACTCACCACCTGAGGCCACGGAGAGCTGGGTGCACCCTGGGGTGGGGGAGGGCAGCTAGCGCTCCCATAGGCCGGCCTTGGCAGACTCACTGTTGGAGCTGCTCTCTGCTTCTACGTGGATCTGAAGTTTTTCGTGGTGATATTATGCCCTGATTGTTAGAGATCGACGTTTGAAAGAACTGTAAAATCATTGATGGGAATTCTGGACTTTGGAGGAGCGTGGTCTGGGCCGTGGCGACCCCCGTGTCACGTGTTCGTTACCTTGCTGTTGCAGTATCACCCTCGGCGGCTTTGGAGCAGATCGCTTCTACCTGGGCCAGTGGCGGGAGGGCCTCGGCAAGCTCTTCAGCTTCGGGGGCCTGGGCATATGGACGCTCATCGACGTGCTGCTGATCGGAGTGGGCTACGTGGGCCCCGCCGACGGCTCGCTCTACATCTAGCTGCAGTGTGTGCCGCGCCCAGGGCCGCGCTCTGGAGTCGGCGGGGCAGGAGGGGCGCGGGTCCGTTCTTATGTACAGCATCTGTACTTAGCTTGCCTTGATGAAGGTAAAATAAAGGTGAAATGAAACGCCGACCCATGCTAATCTGGAATTTGCTTTTATCTGCCTGAAGTGCATTTTTTTCTGTGAAAAAGTATCCACTTATTTAAACCAGAAGAACCAATTCTGCATGATCGACCACCCGCTTAGTTTATACTTTGGGGTTTGTGTTGTTTACGTTAACCCCTTGTTGTCTCCCGCCGGGATGAGGTTGCAGGAAAAAGGGGGATTCTGTGATCCCCACAAAGGGACCCCTCCAAACTGCCATGTACTGTACACTTAGGGTAACAGCCATGCAGTGTGGGCTTGAACGTGACTTTGTGAACTGCAGAAATGGTGTGTCATATAGCCTGATCTTGTTATTAAAAAGGTTGCAAGAATGCTGAAAGATGAATAAAATTACTATTTTAAGAAATACTCTAAACTGGTTTCCTGTGTTTTCTGTACAAAGATGTCGTCTTTGCTAATCATTACATCTTTTAAGAAGTTACATGCTCTTTCTCAGGGCAGTGCTTCGTCCCAGTGGGCAGCGCTTCATCCCAGTGGGCAGCGTCCCTCTCGGCTGTTGCAGGCGTTACTGCCACGGTGGCGGTGCTAACCATGTGCTTCATACGATAAAGGCTGTTCCAGCCTGAGCAGCCTGCTTTACTGGGAAGCAGAGCAGCTGTTCATTCAAAATGGGATCATTCCTGGTTGTTTTTGAAACATTGGAAAACTTAAGCTTTCAGACTTGGGTGCCTGGGTGTACTGTGTACTGCATTGTCAGCTGCACGTGCTGACCAGCATGTCAGATTGAGAAACTGCTGAGTGCCTTTTGGGCCTGCCTGCATACACCTGCTGGGTCTGCAGGCTGCGTAGCGCACAGGTCCCCTCGGGGAGTGTAGCCGCTGTCATGACTTGCCCATGAGGGCCCTTGATGGGTTGTGATTCTGTGCTCAGTCAAGTTGTGGTTGCAGCGCAGGCCAGTAGATGGCGCATAGTTAACCTTGGCAGATGCTTCCAGGGCACAGGCAGTGCAGCCGAAAGGGGCACCCTGGTTGGCACAACCTTTCCTTTTAGGGTAAACACATGCTTTGTCTTGTCCACCAGGATTGGCTGAGCAGTTTTTTTTTTCAAGGAAGAGGAGGAGAGGCAGAGAGCTCTTCCCTCTGCTGGTTCGCTCTCCTGGTGACTGCAGCGGTGGGAAGGTGGTGGGAAGGTGTGTGCTCTGTGAGAGGGCTGTATGCACAGGCTCTGACTGAGTTCATGCCAGCAGTGTCCTGGAGGCTTCAGGTGAGTTCATGCAATTCCAGAAGCGGGCAGAGCTGGTGGCTGCAGGGAGAAAAGACAAATGGGCTTTGAGAAAACATGTCTGTAGCATTATATTGAGATTTCTGCAGACGAGCAAGGAAGGGCCGTGCTCCATGGTGCTTGTAAAAGAGGTTTTTCAGGGCTCTTACGCTTGACGATTTGAAATGTAAAAATATCCTCTACCGCCACATAGCTTGATTTCAATTTTTAAAAATACACCAGGATTGCACTTATTTTTGGTGCAACAGGATTTTTTTTTTTTTTGGTATGGAATTTGCAAGTGATTTTATCCCATAAGCAGTGAGTAGAAAATGAGCTGTTATCTGATGGACCTTTTCACACACAGCATCCAGAGAATTGAAACATGAATCAGTCTCTTCCCTCCTGCTCTCTCCGTGGCCATATTTGATAGAAACGCTGTGAGACTTATTTGAAAGATGGGCAGAGAGAGATAGGACTCCCATCTGCGGGGCTGGACCAAAGCCAGGAGCCAAGAACTCGACCTGCGTGGGTGGCAGCGAGCCCGCTACTCAGAAGGCTCCCTGCCGGAGTATGCGTTAGCAGGAACTTGTGACCTCCGAACCCCCTTTGAATCTAGGGACTCCAGGGAGGGGTGTGGACCCTGGTAACTTGGTCACCAGGCCCATGCTTGCCCCCGCAGCACTTGGGGAAGTGGTACTAGAATGTATTGTATTTTTTGTCATGTGTAGTGTAATGTGATTTTTTTTTTTTGCATACATGGTGAAATGGCTCCTACAGTCAAGCAGATGAACACATTTTATTCTGCATAGGTCACGTTGTTTTCTGGGAGGAACATTTAAGATACACTCTTCTAGCAGGTTTTCATAATCACAGCCCTCCTGCTACACTGTAGATTTCTAATTTGATTTTGTAACCTCAGTGAATTGGGTGTGAATTCTTGGATGTGGAGTCTGGAACTTGTCTTCCATAAACACCTCGTTTCTATGCAGAGTGCGGCAGCTTTGCCTGAGACGTCGGCACATAATGTGAGAGGCGGCCTGCAGGCAGGGCTCGGGTTCTGCAGCTCTGAGCCCCGCCTGGCATGGAGTGGGACTCACATGGTGAATGAATGAAGGGGAGTCTCCAGGAAAGGCACTGCGGAGACCTGTGGGGCAGTGTTGGAATGCAGCTGGATCACACAGACCATTTCAAATAATGACATAGAGAAACCAGCATTTCCTTCCTGCAAAGCAAACAGCAAACAAGATGCAACTGAATGCTCCAAATGTCAAAAAATGAGTTAGGGAAGAAAAAAATGTACGCCCCGGGTGTGTGAGACTGCCCCTGGTGAGATGCAGGAACCCCCACTGACCAGATAAGCAGGTTGGCGGGAAGATGGAGGATGTCCTGTCTTTTCCCTGTGTCAGCTGGGGGTGCTGCAAAGGCTGCTGGGAAGAGATGGTTAACAAGAGCTGCCGAGCAGCCAGATGAACACACGGAGTTCCCAAGTGGAACTAGAGAAGACCGTCAAAAGTCCCAGGTGACCCCCCGCTTGGGGCAGGAAAGGCACTCCCCATCCAGGGCAGGAAAAACCTCACAGCTGCTCCACTTCCCGTCCAGCTCCCTGCCTGTGGCCTCGGAGAGCACTGGAGGATGGTGCAAAGCCTTGGGACCCTGCACCCATGTGGGAGACCCAGAAGAAGCTCCTGGCTTTGGATGGACCCTGCTCCAGCCATTGCAGCCACTTGGGGAGTGAACCGGCAGGCACCAGATCTTTCTGTCTGTCCTCTCTGTAAATCTGACTTTCCAATGAAAAAAAATCTTTTTTAAAAGAAAGAAAGAAAACCTTAGTTCAGGACTTTTTCAAGTCAGAGTTCGTAGACCAGATACTGAAGCAAAAATGCTATCTGAGCACTTCCCGCTTCATGCGGCTATCACATGACGGAATGTTGAGCACAAAACTTCCAGAACGTTTCCTTGAGGCCAGGAAGTTGTCCACATGAGATAGGAGTGAAATAAAGCGATGCTTCATACCGACTCTCAGGGTTATAATAAAACGGCAGCAAGTTTGAGAGGGTGTAGGGAAGTTGGAGCCCTTACATGGGGCAGGTACACATGCGCACTGGAAAGCCACCTTGGAAAGCGACCTTGCAGTTCTCCAATGTAAATGTGCAGATCTGTGGCTGACTCAGCAACCCCACTCCTGGGCATCTACCTAGAGAAAGCGGAGTGTATGTGCATTCCAAAAGCTGTTTGTAGCAACATGTTTGAGAGTAAAAATAAGCAAGCAACCCAAATGTCTGGCCAATGAGTAATGCTAAGAATCCATGTAATGGAATCGTATTCCATCATGGAAATGAAGTGCTGATACAAGCGACAACACCAATGCTAAACAGAAATGCAGGATCTCTAGCTGTTCTAAGAAGGATTCAGCAGTGGGAATGAAGGAACTCATGAACGGAAAGGCGCCCAGCAGGAGTGAAGCGCGCCTCTGAAGATGTGACTGAAGAAACGGGAGGGAAGTCCCCACTCTGTCACTGAGCCTCCATTATGAGGCCAGTGTCCTCCTAGGAGTTCGGAAAGGTAGCAATAAACAACTTCTTTGGGGGAGCTCTCGTGTTTGGTGCACAGAAATAGCAGACTCGGTTCCACGGATCAACCAGGAAGATGTGGCTTGCGTTCACCGCAGTGGTCCTGGTGACCCTTTCCAACCTGGCTTGTTGCTTCTGCTCCAATAACTTATTTTTCACAGAAAAAAAAGAAATGTAGTGCCAAGTATGAATTCAGGCTAGAAAATGGGAAATGCCTTTTGCTAGCCAGGCTGTCGTTTTGTTTTTCTTTTTTTTTTTAATAAAGATTTTCTTTACTTGAAAGGCAGAGTTACACAGGGAGAGGAGGAGGCAGGGGCTGCAGTGACCAGGGTGGGAAGCTGCAGCTTCTTCCAGGTCTGCCCTGAGGGTACAGGGGCCCACGCACTCGGGCCTCCTGCTGCTGCTTTCCCTGCCGCTGGATTCCCAGGAGCTGGACTGGAAGTGGAACGCCGGGACACAGACCAGCTCCCATGTGGGATGCTGGAATCACAGGCTACAGCTCAACCTACTGAGCCACAGCACCAGTGACCAAGCTTTCATTTTAATCCCTAAATATAGAACCTAAAAAAGAACCTCGCAGGATACAAGCAGTACTCCCTCCCCTCCCCCAGTTTCCTCAATAAAAATCTTGGGTGATTGATCCTCTGATCAATTTCTCATCTAGGATGAATGATGCTATGATTTTCCGCCAACCCGAATAATTTCACAAACTGTTGTATACAGTTACAAATATTTTACAAGTAAAATATTTTACAAATATTTATTTTAGTTACAGGTTCCACTTGTAACTACCTATATGATTCAAGAATTAGTTTAGAATGTATTTTTTAAAAAAAGGATTGATTTCTTTTTGTTGGGAAGGCAGATTTACAGAGAGAGCAGAGACAGACCTTCCATCCGCTGCTTCCAGAACCAAGTGATCCAAAACCAGGAGCTTCTTCCGGGTCTCCCACGCAGGTGCAGGACCCCAAGGCTTTGCGCCATCCTCCATTGCTCTCCCAGGCCACAGGCAGGGAGCTGGATGGGCAGCAGAGCAGCCGGGATTAGAACCATCGCCCAGCAATTGCAAGCAGAGGGTTTAGCCACTGAGCCATTGTGTGAAGTCCCAGACTGTACTTTATTTACAAATATATGGGAGAGTTGTTTTTATAATCAGTTTGTAGTTGCATTTCATTATGGTCAGAGAATACAATTTTTATTCTTACGAGTCTTTCAAAAGCGCTGGTCTGCATTGTGGTTATGCTCTCTTAGGATGAGAGTTCTGTCTGCTTTCACAGCTCCAAGTGATGTTTTGTAAATGTCAGGTTAAGTTGGTTGGAAGTATATTTTAGGCTTTCTACAACCTTGCAAATATTCTAATTATTCTATGAGGAACTAATGAGAGAATGTAGAGCTTCCCAATCTGATTTGTGTTGTGTGTTTGCCTTTTTAGTTCTGTAAGTTTTTGTTTATTTTGAAAATCTTTTGCTAGTCATAACTTCTAGGATTGTGATATTTGTGTTGGGTTAAAATGTCCATAGCATTTACCATGTTGGTCATTCTTAGGCACACAGTTCAGTGGCGTTAACCACATTCATAGTGT